ATGCTAAATTTATTCTTATTTCATTTCCAAATAATTATATTTTTCTATCCCTAATTAAATTAAGTTAATTAAGTTTACTTTTTACTATTTTATAATAAAGATAAATAGATAAATCTTTTTACATATGATTAAATCTAATAAAAAAATCTTTTACATTTGTATACGACTATCCGGTTAACCGACGTGACATATGTTTAGATCATGTTCATTACAAAATTTGACACATCAATCTTTATATAATAACTAGATGAAGGATCCGCATATATGCGGATTTGTGATTATTATTTTTATAAATTTGTAGGAAAAAAATATTTAATTGTACCGAACAAAATTAGACACCCGTTAACATCGAAGTAAAATGTTAATGTAAAACTATTGATCAAAATAACATAATTTATTTTATTAATTTTTGTGTTTCCGTTATTTGATTTACAATTTAATTTATCACGTATTTTGAAATTATGAGTTTTTCTTATTCCTATTTAAATTTGATAAACTTTTTACTTTTAACATTATTTACTATTCAAATATCTATTTTTGAAAATATTGATGAATTATTTCTCATATTTATAAATGAACATTTTTTTCTCTTTAATATTTATAACTTGCAAAAAAAATCAAAGACAAAAAATATTCAATAATATTCAAATTATTAAATATTTATAGAGAAGTCTATCAAATATTTATCTATTGTATTCTTTATATTTGTTTTTATAATGTTTGATTTTTAATAAAATTATTTCACATATATTCAAATAATTAAAAAATTTCTAATCCTATGTAAAGTAGGATTACTTTTTACTATTTGACAAATAAAAATATTATTATTTTAAATATATAAATTTTTTGACATGTGGCTAAATCTAATTGAAAAAATATTTTATACTTGTATAAATCTAACCGATTGAATTAAACATGTCTCGATAAAGTTGATTACATTGTATACAAATTCAAATTTGAAAAATAATATACTTTTACCTTTTTAATATTTATTATACTTAATAAAACTAAGCAAAAAGTGAAAAATAAATTACTATATTTCATTTCAATGCGGTTAGAAATAAACAAAAATTGAATTATTAGCAAATAAAATCAACTTATAGTTAGATATTAATCAAATAATTATTAGCAAATTAAGACTCTTTATTTGTATTTATCAATTAGATATTTTAATTTTAAATAGAAATATATAAAACAATAAATAAAATACCTTTTTTTATTGGAATATTATTATATACATGTAATTCTTTTAGTTTGAATAGATTTTAAGTGTAAATATCCAAATTTTAATATTTATTTATATATTTTTATGCTCTCTCCTTTCTACGCAATTTAACATTTTAATAATATTTTTCATAAAAATTATTTGTTTTGGTTTTTCATTAGAAAAGATAGATTGTGAAATAGAATACGATAATATATATTATATTTTCTAATTCAATTTTTCTGTTTGTTGTTGACAACATTAATATGAGGTATAATAATTTATTTTTCTATTTTTTGCTTGGTTTTCTTACGTTTAATATTTACTAAAATGGTAAAAGTAGAATTTGAATTTTTATAATAGGTAACTAATCTGATCGAAGCATATTTGACTCAATCTGTTAGATTTATACAAGTATAAAGTATTTTTTAAATTATATTTAGCCACATTTCAAAAGATTTATCTATTTAAAAATAATAATATCTTGATTTGGTAAATAGTAAAATGTAATTCTATTTAAAATAGGATTAGAAATATTTAACTATTTGAATAGATGTGGTATAATTTAGTTGAATATCAAATAATATAAAAAAATAAAATATAAGAATAAAATAGATAAATATTTGATAGACTTCTATATAAATGATTTTATAATAACATTTTCAATTTTATTTTATTATTTAAATGGAATGATCTAATTTTATCTTTTGTCTTTTCGTCTTTCATTTTTGCAACTTATAAAATATTTAAAAATAAAAAATATTCAAATAGAAATATGATAAATAATCCATCAACATTTTCAAAAGTAGATATTTGAATAGTAAAACAAAATTAAAAGTAACAAAAAATACTAAATTTAAATTGGACTAAGAAAAAATAATAATTTCAAAAGAAGTGATAAAAAATAATTGTAAATCAAATAATGAAAGCATAAAAATTAATAAATAAATGATAATTTTCCCTATCAATGGTTTTGCAGTAACATTTTTACTTTGATTTTATGTATGTTAATGGATGATCAAACTTTGTTCACCATAATTAAATATTTTATTTTCTATAGAAATTATAAATCCGCATATATGCGGATCATTAATTTTCTTTAAATTTATAGCATTCCACTTTCTAATAAGACGTACTAAGTATGACGATAAACATTGTTTTTATTTAACTGGTGTAAAATTAAATAATTGATGTTTCTCTTGGGTTGAGTATACATTATTTGTGTGATGATTAGTGAAGTTTGAAACTGTTTGGTGAAAATATTATAAATCCTTTTAGATTTGGCTATGTATACCTAAATCTATAGAAATTTACAAAAATTTACTAATGTATCAAATATTGCTATATAATAATGATATTAGCTGGATTTTATGGTATCTCACGTGGACTAAAGCAAAAGAACAAAACCGATCGAGATAATAAAAAACAAAATTATAAAGATCATTATCAACTAATTAATTTTTAGATAAAAATTTAAGGCTAAACTATGTTTATCAACTAATTTTTATTAAAATAAATAAGATTTATTTGACACATGTC